TCCTGTCTTAGAGCTGCTGGGGCACTTGGAGAGACTCCCAGGTTCATTCTTTCAGGTGGTTAGTAGGTAGACCCTGCCTGGCTCATGATCCCCCCAGGCCAGCCCCTATGTCAGTGTGCAGGAAGCAATGCCCTTTACAGCTTGTGTAGGGACAGGCTGCCCAGCAGACACACTGGGCAGGGGCTGACTTGGGATGGGCTGCTCCCGGTCCCTTGCCTGCCTTCCTCAGCCCTCTGCCCCAGCACTCCTCCTCTAATGCTGCCCCCACAGCTTGTTCATGCCTGCAAACACTTCTAGGCTCATTGACTGTCCCCATAATGAACAGTGACAGCTCATCACATTACCAGTTTGCTTCTCTGGCAGGGAGGTTAAGGGCTGGAAAGATTCATTAGCATCTGCCTGGAAGGGCACCAGGCAGTCCCGCTTTCCCTCCTCCCAGGGTCATGCTCTTCTTCCCAGGCTCCTGCTTGCAGTTCTCAGCTCTATGTCTCCTTCCATTGGTGTGTCATGAGTAGTTGTGAAGAGGGTTCCAGTAATTTGTTGCTCAATAGTAGTGACACGAGGACAGGATGTACCTTATTCACTTTTGAAAATTTGGAACAGTCACCTTCACTCACTAGAATTCCAAGGTGCTTTCTTGAGTAGGAGAGAAAAGGTAGGTTCACCAGGAGTCGGGAGAGCACGCTTTGGGTTTGTCCCTGGGAACATGGGTGTGAATGAATGTCATCCATGAGATTGGTTGCTGTTAGAGGAGGATTGGGAACAAGCCTGCTGTCAGTCCATGGCCTCCTGACTGTTGGTTGGGATAGGCAGATGAAGGTGGATTGTCGCGGATAGATATTTCCAGGGTATCTTCCAAAACAGCATGTCTTAAATATGAATGACATATAAATCACCTGAGGATCTTGTTAAAATGCCAACTGAGGCGGGACACGGTGGCTCACACCTGTAATCTCAGCACTTTGGGAGGCCGAGCGGGCGGATCACCCGAGGTCAGGAGTTTGAGACTGGCCTGGCCAACATGTGAAACCCCATCTCTACTGAAAATACAAAAATTAGCTGGGTGTGGTGGTGGGCGTCTGTAATCCCAGCTACTCGGGAGGCTGAGGCAGGAGAATTCCTTGAACCTGGGAGGCAGAGGTTGCAGTGAGCCGAAACCACGCCATTGACCTCCAGCCTGGGTGACAGAGCGAGACCCCATCTCAAAAAAAAAAAAAAGCCAACTTATTCAGTAGATCTGGGGCGAGGCTAGTTGGGGACTTCTAGGTCCTGGTGTAAAAAATGGGAAATTTGTTGAGGTTTCTAAAATGAAACCATTCTCGACTTCTTTAAATAAAGCTCTGATGGTTGAATGCTTTCTAAATAGTCTCTCTTTTCCTATGGCTACTAAACGGAGGCTCACAAGGAGCAAGGCCAGGGCAGACCCCAGTAACCACGCAGGAGGTTGACTACACGTGCGTAGGTTCATATGCTATTTTGGAATGCTTGGCCTACTCCTGAAAGATCATTACATAACACTTCTCCAGTTAATTGCAATCACAGAGGAATCAAAATCTAAAGCTGAAGAAGACTTTAGAAAATCTCTACCATTCTGTTATTTTAGCAATGCTGAAACCAGGTCCAAATGCTTAAATTACTGGTTTGGTAATTTAAGGACCTGACCCATCAATATAGGACCTGACCCATCAATATTAATTGATCCAATTAATAAAATGTCCGGTATCATATCTTATAAAGTCCATCAGAACAAGGACCTTTTTTGTCATTGTTTATTGAGATTTTCTACATGAGTTGCAACCCTATGTCTACAGAGGCTGAGGACCTAATGTAGCCAAGGGGAGAGGGCTGGGGGTGGGCCTTGGGGAGATAAGTGACACTTGATTTTTCCAGAGAAACCAGAAATCTAGAGTTTTAGGTGAAATCTCATTTAAAAACATTGGCAGCTAATTCACATTTAAAACACAATACCACATCGCCAAACAAAACATGTTGTCCAGACAACTTGTTTTTAGCCTCTGATCTTCATGGATGTCAGTGATCTTAGTTCACTTAGTGTCTGTTTGGATGTCATGATGCAGTGCCAAGGCTTAGGAAATACTTTCCCTGTTAGCCTAATCAGAAAGAGAGTTTCTTATTTAAGAAGGGAAGCTTAGGCCGGGCACGGTGGCTCAGGCCTGTAATCCCAGCACTTTGGGAGGGTGAAGCGGGAGCATCACAAGGTCGGGAGTTCGAGACCATCCTGGTCAACATGGCAAAACCCCGTCTCTTCTAAAAACACAAAAATTAGCCAGGCATGGTGGCGGATGCTTGTAGTCCCAGCTACTTAGGAGGCTGAGGCAGGAGAATCGCTTGAACCTGGGAAGTGGAGGTTGCAGTGAACCAAGATCGCACCACTGCACTCCAGCCTGGGCGATAAGAGCAAGACTCTGTCTCAAAAAAGAAAAAAAAAAAAAAAAAAAAGGGAAGTTTGCTAACAGTCAGGATGTAGGAGATGAATTGGACTACAGAATTCTCTCTCCACGGAGCCAGAACAAGTGATGTTTGAAAGATTTAACTCAGCTTGGAACATGCTTGGAAGTTGCTTCAGTATGGGGATCTTTGTTACTCCAAGCCAAGAATCTGGGGATTTTTCTGAACTTAACTGCTCACTTAATGAGAAATCCGTAAAAGGCTTCCAGCAATTATCTACACATGGGGTTAGAAATTCCAAGCGTGTTGCGACCTCAGGACAGTTGGAACAGGTATAAAGTGTAGGCACCTGTTTATCTAATAGAAGTATTTCATAAATGTTTCACTGAAGTACAACATACTTCAGAAAAGTACATAGGAGGATACCATACAATGAATTTTCACAAACTTAATATATTTGTGTATCCAGTACTCAAGTAAAAAACAATATGACTAGAACTCTAGAAACCCCTCATGCCTCCTTTCCTAGTCACTAACCTCTCTATTTCCGTGCCACGAGGGGAACCACTATTCCAACTTCTAATAGTGTAGATTCTCTCTCTCTCTCTCTTTCTCTCTCTCTCTCTCTCTCTCTGTGTGTGTGTGTGTGTGTAGGGGTGTAGTGTGTGCCTTATTTTGCTCAACATTCTTTGTAAGATTAATTCATCCATATTGTGTGTAGTTGCGTTGCTGTCATGTATCATTGCTCTGTAGCATTCCATTCTGTATATATACTACTATTTATCCATTCTTCTGTTGATGCGTATTTGGGTACTTTCCATTTGGGATGCTGCTATGAGACTTCCAGTACATTTCTTTGGTGAACACATGCACACATTTCTTTGAGACAAATGCCTAGGAATGGAATACTATAGAGCAATGATAGTATTGCATACCCGATTGCTGGGCCATCGGGTATGCCTACGTTAAGCTCTAGTGAATGCGGCCAAATAGCTTTCCAAAGTGATTGCAACAATTTACATTTCCCGACACCAGTGTGTGGGCGCTCTGGTGCTGCACATTCTCATAAACACTTATTAAAAAACAAAAGTTTAGATTTTTGTTTGGTGGTGGTGCAGTGTATCAGATCACTGATTTAATTAGCATCTTCCTGAAGACTGATAAAGTTGGAGCCTTTTAAAAAATATATTTAATGGCCATTTGGATAACCTCACCTGTGACCAGACTGTTCAAATATTTTGACCATTAAAACATGTGGCTTGTCTTTTCATGCTCTAACTGGTGTCTTTGGATAAGTAGAGGTTCTTAACTTTAGTGTTGACCAATTTAGCAACTTTTCTTGTCTTTATGCTTAGCCCTTTTGTGTCCCATTTAAAAAAATCTTTGTCTACCCCAAGGTCATGAAGATGTTTTCCTTGAAAAGTTTTACCTTTCACATTTTGAATACAAATCTGAGGAAGCATCTTTGCATCTTCTAGTGATGTTTTTTCCCCAGGCTTAGTGAATCTACGGCAGGGCTAAGGGGTAATAAATCCATAATGGTAGGAGCAAGGAACCAAAATCAGACTGCCAGGCTCTTCCAGTTATCAGTTGTTTGACGTTAGGCAATTGTTTAAGCTCACTGTGCCTCAGTTTCTCATGGGTAATAATCCTACCTTCTTCATAGTTTTCTTGTCAGGATCAGTTATGTCAATACAAGGCTGAGAACGGTACCTGGCATGAAATAAACATCACTAAGGGTTAGTTATTATTATTGAGCTTATTTTAACAAGCTAAGGGCAAGAAGAAGTGGGAAGAGGAGAGAAAGAAGGAGAGGGAAATCAGTGTGTTGCAAATGTTGGAGAGAATGGCAGAAAGGGGTAGAAAGTCACTTATCTCTACCCAATACTCTTAAATTAGGCGATGGGTCATAAACTGTCAGAGTACAAAAGCCAGAAGGTTCCAATAAATATAGACACATATTGGGAATACATAAATAAGGAAGGCTGGATGATCAACAAACATCCTGGTCAAATTTATCCTTTTCCCTGGAGTTGGAGAGAATGGGCCACAGTCTTACTAATTATTTTAAACCCATAGATAGGTGATAATTTATTAAGCCAGTTAATATGAAGAGAAGCTGTAGTTTGGGGAAAAGTCGGCTGTGCTGACAATCCAGCAATTGAGTTTTCCATCCCCACTTCCTAGAGTCAGATGCTCCCCTGGGCAAAATTGCCCTCCAGGCGATTTTGGTAGACATTCAAATTCTGGACCAGTGATCCACAAACTTTGACTGTGGATCAGAATCACCTGGAGGGCTACCCCCTCTTTCTAATTCAATAGACCCGAGGTTGGAACTGAGAAATCTCAAGTCTGACAAGTTTCCAGGTGATGTGGAGGCTGCTTATCCAGGGACCATGATTTGAAAACCACAGACATAAACTAAGAGTTGGCAAACTACATCCCGTGGGCCCATCTGGCCTGCTGCCTGTTTATATGTGGTCCACAAACTGAAAATGGTTTTCACATCTTTAAATGTTTGGAGAAAAAAAAGAGTATTTTGTGACACATCCAAATTATGTGAAATTCAAATTTTAGTATCCATAAACAAAGCTTTATTGGAACACAGCCACGTGCATTCATTTATGTGTTGTCTGTGGCTGCTTTTGTGCCACAATTGCAGAGTCGAGTAGTTGTGAGAGAGACCGTGGGGCCCACACAGAATATTTACTTTTGTCTCTATATGTTTTTCACATTAGCGATGCCAATCAACCTGACACCATAAACCTCCCTGAGAAGTCCTTGCCTACGACTGCTTGTTGAGGCAAATGGCTGCAGAAAGTTACTGACAGGTGTCCTTGTTCTATGCCACGTGTGTCTAATTTGACTTGTACTAGACACATGATTGAAGATCTGATCAGTGACGTGTGTCTCTCCTCACATCTAATCAGGTTCACCTTTATGAGGATCTTAACTCGCTATGTGGGTAGGAAATTATTCATTGCTGCAGCGGGTATAAGCTAAAAAAATCCTGAGCCCCCCCACAACCGACTGGACAGATCCTCTCTTGGCCAAGGAGACCCCACAGTAAACTTAAGAACTGGGTTCCCAGCCATGATGGAAAGGGAGGCAAAACACATCTCCTTATACCCCACCCTTTTGTGGTTTAGACACAATAACTCATCAGCATTAATGTTAAAATAGGGATCATCAGACTGACAATAGAATATCAAATTATAAACAGTACTTAAGGCCATACCATGGAAGGGTTAAGTCATGCAGGCTACACCTAAATAATAAACTACGTTCTAACTGCCACAAGAGTTTTATTTTTCTCTAGCAGCTGAACAAGCACTGGCTTCAAGTTAAACAATATGAAAACAATGACAATTCATCCAGCCCACAGACACTGACTGATCCCCTGTTCCACCAGCCATGACTACAGCTTCGGTTGGACAAGAGACTGATTTCAGGAACTTTCTCCAGATAAGAAGACCACCACCAACCATGGACTGGTTCTGGCCAGTTTACAGAGGCTGTGCAGTTGAGTGCCTTCATGTCCTGAAAAGACTTTATGACATATTATGCCTAATTGTCATATATTGAAATATTAAGTCTCCACCCTAAGGTGAACATGGGTCTTATGTTACATGCATGCTTGTTCAATATGCATGTGTGGGGACCACCTTTATGAATATGTATGTTCAGGCAACCCAGTCAGCATAAAGCTCCTGCCCTAACCCCTACTCCTTTGAAATGCTTGTCTCTGGTCTTGGCTGGTGGCTGTATTTCCCAGCCTACCGGATGGCCACCTTGCAGGATGTAATCCCTCACAAGAAATAGTCTCCCCTCTCTTTTCCAAATCTATACATTTTTTTTTTTAGGTTAACAGGTGCCAAAGGAAAATAAAAAATGCAGAGAGAGGGGACAATGCACATCTATCACGAGGCAGAAGCAGCCACCGGGATGCTGACATTGTGAGGGTGAAGGGCAATCAGCTGTCCTGAGGCAGAGGAGAGCAGAGTTGAGAGTCAAGCACTAGGGTGGAGATCAGAAAACACTCCATAGAAGGGGCTGCAGGAAGACCTGGTCCCCAAGCTGCTTTGTGCCCTGAAGCACATGTGTGCCTCCTGAGCCAGAGAGTCCCAATTCCTGCAGGATTCCCGACCCTGTGGGAGTCCCGCTGGTAGACAGGGATAGTGACCGTTCTTTGGCAGCAAGAGTAGGACGTCTCTCAGTGCACGGATGCTCTGGTCTTACCAGCGTGGGAGGCTCCCACACACACCACGCACATGTGGCTCAGCTCGGGCTGGTCCCCACACCCCTATGCACCTGAATCTTACTCTTCAAGACATCCCACTTGGGAACCTTCCCAGATCTTCCTGGGTTCTCTTGTTCTTCCTGACCAGTAATGCATCTTCCCTCCAACCTACCCTGTGACCAGTGGCTCTCTACTTTTCACTGACTTTTTTTTTTTGTTTTTTTTTAAAGTCCCCCATTACAGGTTTGAAATGTGACTTGAAGAATGAGGCTTTTGTTTTGTTTTGTTTTGTTTTTGTCCCTGTCAATCCCAGCAGAGGCCTTGCACGTGGTCAGAGCTTGAGATCACAGACGGTCAGGTCATCCTGCTCTGACAAGACCACCCCACCCCTACCCACTATGGCCATTTTACAGAGCAGAAGACCGAGGCCCAGAGGAGTGATGAGATTTGACATTAGTCTGCCGAGTCTCATCTTGTCTGGGACAGGAAGAGCCGATGTCCCTGGTGGGTTCCCGTTTAAAGCCCCAGTCTCCTTCACACTCATAAATCCCTTCTCCACACTTTGGTTGAGGGAACCTGAGTTAATTTCAAGGGCTTTCAATGACCATTTGCAATTAACTGCATGGGAAATATCTTCAGTCAATTAGCTTTGGCACTTTTCCAGGGCTGTCAACAACTGCTCTGGAGAAATCAGACTTAATTATCTTGTTGTCTTTTCTTCTTTGTTTTTTAATGTTAATCTCATTTGTGAGGGTTTCTGTAAACAACTAGGTAAGCAGAGACTTAATTTGAATGAAGACAATTTGGACAAAGTAACCATATTTTACCAACAACTGGAAGGCTTTAAAAACCTCAGTTGAGTCTGTCCTATAGTTTGTGGGATCTCCATGTCCTCCTAAAATCACTAGAATCCCGCTCGTAGGGAACAGAAATTTAGCCCTATAGGGATGCTCACTTTTTCTCTTGACTTGTTTTTTGAGCAGCAAAGAGCGCAGAAGAAGAACTCAGGAGGGGACAGCCAGCGTTTTGTTTGGGTTCACCCTCTTCAGATCCAATAATAAACTTACTGAATTAAACTAAACAGCCCTTTAATAGCAGTAACTGATGGCTGCTTAGGGAGGAAGCAAGATGCAGCACAGCATTTAAAAACAAGACACAAGGAAGATTAGCAGGGGTTTGCAGTGAGCGGCTGTCTCTTCTGCTTGCTTACCCATGCATTCTGCCTCCAGGAACAGCATCCTCATTTTCGTTAGCAACCAGTCCCCTGCCAGGACTAGGAAAATCCTTGGCGTTTGAGGAAGGATGAGCCCCCAGCACCCAGTTCTAGTTATGGGCAGTTGGTCAATTCCACTGCATTGTCTGGCCACAGTTGTTGGCTTGGGATGGAAAAATGACCCAGGCTGGGCCAGTGAGGGTCAATCATGGGACGTTTTCTGAGCTGCCATTTTTCTGTGGTTGGTGCTGGGTTGTAAACATGAGTATCTGGTCCTGTTACCAGCTATGTTGCCACTTCATGAGAAGAGTCAGCTTCATGAGAGTGAAGGAAAAACAAAGGAAAGCAGAGGAGAGAGGGAGAAAGAGAGTTTCCTGATGCCAACAGTTGATATCTGAATCAAGGTACATCTTTGACTATTAGTTTATTTGGCTAATAATTCACTTTTTTCCTTCTTAATGCAATTTGTGTCACAACTCAAAGAGTCCTTACAAATAGAATGTTTGACAAAACATTATCAAGGTAAAAAAATGATAACTTAATGACCAGGTATGGTGGCCAGTGCCTGGAATCCCTGGACTTTGGGAGGCCAAGGCAGGAGGATTGCTTGAGCCCGGAAATCAGGAGTTCAGGGCTTCAGTGAGCTAGGATGCAATCACTGCACTCCAGCCTGGGCAACAGAGTGAGACCCCCTCTCTCTTTAAAAAAAAAAATGACTTACTATTTATTGTCAACCATATGCAAGTAGTAAAACCTGACTTTTAATTGAAGTTCCCTGCAGAGCCTGAATGATAAATCAAGGTAGGATGAATCTTACAAAAGGAATAATCAACATTTTACTTCTATTCCTCCATGGCCCTGGGGCACCTGTAGCCTTCAGAATCCTCAAGAAGTTGAGTGATGACCTCTCAGTGGCTTCCCTCTCAGGCACTTCTCTGATGACAGGTCCGGAGATGGCTCAGCTGTGTCTTGGCTGTCTGGAGTCTGTAACCATTGCCATTCCCATCTGGCATGCAGTGCCAGCGGTGCTGGGCCAGGATTCCTGATAACTGGCTGTGTGATCTTAGGAATGACACACTGCTACCCCTTTTCTCAGATGACCCACAGCAAGGTGGCCAGGCTAGCTTTGGCATGGTTTCCAGGGGTCCAATCTGTGATACCAGCTTCTTCCTGTATGAGGCCCCTCAAGACCCCCGTTGAGTCCTTGTGTCACTCTTGCCCAATGGCAGCTCTCCTCCTGGGGAACTCACATCCCTGACCCACGCGAGATCGCAAACAGCCCTCCCTACTGAAGCCTGGGTTCTCCAGAGCTCCTGGTTTTCCCTCTCAAAGCCAGCATGACATCAGCACGCCACACTCCACTGTACTTTTGTTTCCCTCACTCCTTGACATTGGCTCAGAAAGAAGGGAGAATTCCATACAGAGCTTTTGCTAGAATTATGCTTTTGGTCCCCAGGAGGTTCTTGAGGGATCTGAGAGAGTTGGGAACACGGACGGCAATCAGAATTGACACATGCTTCCGGGTCCTTGCAAAGTGTACTGGGGAGGGACAGATCGGAGGCTTTGTACCTGTTGCCACTGACATTCATCATACAACTGAAAAGTGAGCAAGACAAGAAACCCTCAGTGTAAATTTGAAGAGAAACAAGAGAAGAGCTGGACACAGGACTCATCCCTGTGGGCCGAGGCAGCCTGGCCTTTAATCGGGGGAGAACTGAACTTTAAGGCTTCACATGTGTCCTGCAGGAAGGAGGAGGATGATGTACCCTTAGTGGGCTGGGTTCAGGGGCATCTGTCAACCCCACTTTATGCACTGAAGCTGGCCATACGGCCACATGCCCAGCTCTGAGCGTGTCCCGAGTCCTGTCTAGCACACTAGAGAATCAATAAACATTGAAATGTCATGCTTCTAGGAGCCATCCATCATGGTAAATGTTGTTGCTCAATAAATGTCCACAGAAGGTAACAAACTGTGTCTTGCAGAGGACCTTTTGGCCACCACGTGCTCTCTTTATCCTCCCACTGGAATCATCACGGGGCTCTCCTGGGTTCAAATTTAATAGTAAGGGATGAAAGCCTGCTTCTGAGCCTGAAGCAAAGTGTATTGTTGTTTTTTGTTTTGTTTTTGTTTGTTTGTTTTCCCTGAAGGGCTGGGCATGCCTGATCTGTCATCCTAACCCCAGAAACGTTGTAGTTATCATTGGTGCTGTTTTCCAAACATTTGCAGTTCTCTCCACATCTGGTGCAGGGTGGCTGCACCCTGGCTCCTGGCTATACTTCCTGGCTCCCCTGTGATGGAATGCATCCAAATGATTAGTTTTGACCAATGTGCTGTGAGCATAAGTAACATGGTTTGCTTTTCACACTGGAGCATTTAATTGTTGATCTGAGACCCTCTTGACGTATCTTCCCTTTTGATATGGTGACCCAGAAGGTTAAATATGGTGGCTCCTGAGTGACTCCAATGAACCGAGCCTTCTACCATCTTCAGTGGACACATAGCATGTGCAAGAAATCCACTTTTATTATTGAACTTATTGACATTTGGAGAGTCATTTGTTAATGCAGCATAGACCTAACGTATTCTGACTGATACAGGCTCCAGACTAACAAGATATTTAAAATAAAGGCAAAAATACCAACTGACCCTCTCACCTGCCCTAAGCATCTAAAATAACCCTATAAACCGTGCCACAGAATTAAAAGTTGCCCTTCTGGTTAAGCATGGCTGCTTCTACAACACTGGAGAGATTTCCGGTTATATCTCCAGAAGAGTCCTAGCACACAGAAAAATGAGGCATCTTCCTGGGCCCACTGATGTTCTTTTCCCAAGCAGAGCAGACCTAAGGAAACTTCTGGTCTCAGGGAAGAGAGCACAGAGTAAGTTGTAAATGTTGTCTCAGGACTTAAGTGGAGGTGTGACTGCTGTTTCATTTGCCCATCCTGGAAACTTGTCTAGAAAAGCTGTCAGGCTTGGGAAAGTGACATATGGTGGAACTTTGTCTCTAGCGTTGGCCTCGAGAGTTTGAATGAGGACATGAGGTTACCTCATGTTCCAGCAGGAAGCAACTTTAGTCTCTGAGTCCCAGCCTCTGCTGAAGTTGGGAGGCTGAGCCCACAGGAGCTGCAGTAGGGAAGTACGTGTGTGTTCTAGGGATGCAGGAGGGGACAGAGAAAGCAGGGCATCACCCTATGTATGGGTGAGAGAGGCTGCCCGGGCACTGCTTCCAAAACACAAGCGGAGGAAAAGTGCCAACATGGCAGAGTCTGGGCCTTCTCTCCTTGTCCCAACCTAACTCCTGACAGGGCATGTCCTAGGGGCCACTTGTTGGGGTCAAAGAGAGACTCCTTCTCTCTCCCAGCAGGAAGAGGTATCAGGACTGGTGTTTCTGATGTAGCTCTGTGTTCAGACTGCTCTACAGATGCACAGGATGGACAAGGGGAGTGGATCACTGACTTCTGCATTGCAGAATCCCAGGCCTCAAAGAGCCCCTCTTCAAAGCACCTTCACCACTGCCGTTGAGCTCTCAAGCTTCACTTCCAGAAGGCTGCTGGCTGTGCATTTCAGAGTTCAATGCCAAAAGTTGGAGAAGGCAAGAAGTATAGCTTTCTCCTGTCTCTAGGAGGGGATGATGTAGGTCAAGGGTAGAAACCATTTTTCTGGCAGGAGCTTTTATTGCTTTTAATATTGGGGAGAGGGGCATAGTGTCATCTGCTGGTTGTTCAAGAAGAGCGAATCCCTTTGTAGGTGTTTTCTGGGTCGCAGCCCCGCCTCCACCCGTCTGCATCTGCTCACTTGCATGGTTCACAATCAATACTGACAAAGCGGTGGCTTCTTGGATAAGTGAGATAGCATAGAAAAAATATTCCTACTTTAAGTCAGATTAGCTCTGAGCATCCCAGAGGGCCAGGGGTTCTCCGGGGGTACATCTCTGTCTCTTCCTTGTCACACTTCCCCCTGGCCTTAACATCAGCAAGTCATCACTGGCCGCCTCACTTACCTGGAGTTCTGGGTTTGCTCCCAGCTCTGGACTCCGGGCCACCTGGAATTCTGAGCAGGTTCCACAAAGTCAACCCTTACATCCTAGCAGTGACGCTTTATATTCCTTTCACAACAATACCTTTCATTCTAGAACTCATTCTACTTTCACAGCTATTACTGCATTCACTTCTCACAGGCCTTTCAAAAATTGAAAAATGAATTTCCATAGTGTAAGTATAGTATCTGCAGTTCCTTTATTACCACCAGGAAAACCAAAACCACTTACAGAAACATACAGTTAAGGACAGCATGGCTTTTTGTAAAATCAAAAATGACATATTTTTATTATTTTCCATCTCTTCTTTCTCCCTCTGCGTTTCCATAATGCACTTCACCCTTTCAGGAGGCCTTTCTTCTGATTGTGTTATATACATTCTCACTTTAGGATTTCTGCAATCTCAGGAAGTATTTAAGCCCAATATCCTTATTCTTTGTTCTTGTCTTACTCTCTTTTCTTTCAACAAAGCACTGTAAATCCTTAACTTTATTTTTGGAAATTGCAATTGCTTTTTTTTTTTTTTTTCTTCCCAGTCTTCTCCCCCCTGGAAAACTAAAAATAAAATTCTAAGCCCCCAACTGATGGGACAAATTCCCTCTTGGCCAAGCGGATCCCAGGGAAACCTTAAAAACTGAGTTCCTGGCCATGAAAAGACAGGAGGTAAGACACACCTCGTTATATATCTTCTCTTTTGCAGTTTAGACATAACAAATGACCAGCACTAATGTTAAACTAGAGATCACGGGACTGACAGAATGGACTCTTTGTGGCAATAAGATACCAAACTACAAATAAGACCTAAGGCCATGCCAGGCAAGAGTTAAGTCATGTACCTTACACTCAAAGAATAAACTGTGTTCTAACTTCCCAGGGGATTTTCTTTTTCTCTAGCAGTTAAACAAGCACTGGCCTCAAGGTAAGTAATATTAAAATAATGACAATGCATCCAGCTCACAGATGCTGACTATATGACCCCCTGTTCCGCCAGCCATGACTAAAGCTTTGATTGGACAAGAGACTAATTTCAGTAACTTTCTCTAGCTACGAAGACCACCGACCATGGACTGGGCTCTGGCTAGTTTACAAAGGCTGCACATTGGAGTGCCTTTGTGTCCCGAAAAGACCTTTTGACAGACAGGGCCTAATTGTAATTCACTGAAATGTTAAATCTCTACTCCAAGGTGGCCATGGCTTGTATGTAACATGCAATTTTGTTCAACATACATACATCAGGACCCATTCATGAACATAGCTCCTCCTGTATCCTGTTCAATGTGTACGTTTGGCCAACCTGTTCAGCTTAAAATTCCTGTTAAACCCTTCCCCTCCCTCCATCGAAATTTGCCTGCTTCTGGGCTTTGATTGGAGACTATGCTTCCCAGCCTGTCAAAATGGTCATCTCGCAGGCTATAACCTTTTATAAGAAGTAAAGCTCTCCTTGCCAAATTTGTAAACCCTCACGATTTTTCAGTTAACACCCCTAATCTTCTCAATTTGCTCCAAAATTTACGTAACATTTTCAGATAGCCAGTGTTTTCCTTTGTATGTTTTTTAAGTTCTACAGGTGTTTTCTTCCTTAATTAACCTCCTTAAAATTAGGCACTCATTCATTCAGTTGCTTATTCACTTATTCATATAACCATTCAAAAAATGTTTATTGAACACCTATTATGTGCTAGACACTGTTCTGGGTACTGGAGAACTGGAGACAGCAGTGAATGAGATAGGCATAGTCCCTGCTCATGTGATCTTATATTTTTATAGAGGAGACTAACAAAGATTTAAGTAATTAAGAATAATTACCTCAGAAAGTGATACATGCTCTGAAGAACAATAAAACAAAGTAGGTTGATAAATGGTGATGGGGGCCAAGTGTTTTTAAAAAGGGTTAAGGAGACCTCTTTGAGGAAGTGGTGCTGAAAAGAGACCTGAATGATGCAACGAAGGCAGCCATGACCTACAGGAGGAGGAGACACCCTGCGGGAAAGCCCAAAGGCAGGAAGGCACTTGGGATGTTCGAAGAACAGCGAGGAGGCCAGTGTGGCTGAGCTTGATGAGTGAGGGGAGAGGGGCAGGAGTGGGGCCAGAGAGGTGGGTGGGGGGCCTTCTAGGTCATAAGCAGACTTTGGAGTTGGTCTAAGTGGGATGAAATGCACTGTAGAATGCCAAGTAGGTGGTGACATCATCTGGTTCTTGATTTAGAAAGATAACTCTGGCCAGGTGTGGTGGCTCACACCTGTAATCCCAGCACCATGGGAGGCCGAGGCGGGCAGATCATGAGGTCAAGAGATTGAGACCATTCTGGCTAACATGGTGAAATCTCGTCTCTACTAAAAATACAAAAATTAGCTGGGCATGGTACTGTGTGCCTGTAGTCCCAGCTATTCGGGAGGGTGAGGCAGGAGAATTGCTTGAACCCGGGAGGCAGAGGTTGCAGTGAGCCAAGATCGTGCCACTGCACTCCAACCTGGCGACAGAGTGAGACTTCATTAAAAAAAAGAAAAAAAAAAAAAGATAACTCTGACTTCTGGGGGAAGAATTGAGAGCATGTGGCAATGGAAAAAGAGAGTTAATTTAGTAGGCCCATTGCAGAAGTCCAAGAAAGATAGTAGTCCATTGGATAGGATGGAACCCTGGAGAGCAGGGGAAGCAATGAATTCAAGATGTACCATGAGGGTAGAGCTGACAGTAATTGCTCACGGGCTGCACTTAGGGGACGAGGAAAGAGAGGTCCATGGACCACCCCTATGTTTCTGGCCTCAGTAAAACTGGATGAACAACTTCTATCAAGGAGGTGGGAAAATAAGTGGAGAAACAATGTGTGGCAAAGAATGAAGGGTTCAGGTTAAAACATATTAGGCTTAATAGATAAATGGAGATATGGGAGAAAGCAACTGGATAATTAATGGAGCTGAAGATACGGACTTGGGGTAGAAAAAAAATGTTTAAAGTCATAGGACCAGGTGAGATCACCAGGAAGTGAATGAGGAGGGGGAAAAAAGCAGTACAAGGACTTATTAGCCACAGGGAACTTCAAATTTTAAAGGTTAAGAAGGAAGGTGGAAATCAGCAAAGAAGATTTAAAAGCAGCAGCCTGTCATATAGGAGGAAAATCAGTAGAGTAATGGCTCCTGGAAGCCAAAAGAGGAAAATACTTCAAGGAGGGCATAATAAATGATGTCAACCCTTGTGGACCTTACAGCAAAACTCTAAGGCACAAAACAGGGTCTTTGTTTTGTAGCTATGGAAATTAGTACTTAAAGAAATGAGGTGGTCTGCCCAGAGGGATGCAAACTGTTGGAAACAGAGCCAAGCATAGAACTACATACCAGGGTGCCCTTTCCCTTAACTCATGCCACAGATCTCCTTGTCTGCATTCCCAAGAGGGGAGAGGCCTGAGAGGGTCAGCAACAGCACCAATAGGGAGCAGAGCCAGTGCAATTCTGCTCTTTCTGGTGGCTTGACTGAGGAGGACCTTAACACCCTTCACAGAGAGACAGAGTTGGGTGTTAAACTTCTATTTTCCTGATGTGCATCTTTCAGAAGGTAGAGGATGATGCAGCCAGGGGCTAGAGGCTTTACCATGTAAGCAACTATTTGTACCTTTCCAGAGGGGGCAGTCCTGGTCTTGTAAACCATCACAGCCTGGACTAAGTGATGGATGAGCAAAATAATGGTCTCTCTTTGATTAGCTAGAAGTTCTGAGGCTCCAAGAAAATCCCTCGGAAAACATATTACCAGTTCTTATTTTTAATGAATGACTGACATTGGGAGATGTAGCTTTGTGGGTATCTATTTCCAAGATAGGATGCACAGAGAAGGGCAGAATTGTTCCTCAGGAGGTTTCCGTCTCTTAATCTGACTATAGCTGACTCTCCTGTAAATAGTGTCATAGGAGAGGTAAATCATCTGTGATGAGGTTCATACCAGCCTTGCCTCTGAACTGCACTACCATCCACCCGGTGGTGCTAGCCAGAAAACCAGGAAAACTCTTTCCCACTCACTTCCCACGTTGGACTTAGCACCAAGTCTTCGCAGTTTTACCTCCCAAGTATCTCTCAAACTTAATCATGTCTTTCCATCTCCACTGCTACTGCTAGGATCCAAGCCACCATTAGCCTTGGCTGGACTCCACCGATAGAGACTCCTAATTGGTTTCCCCACCTCTACTCTGAACCCTCCAATGTACTTTCCATGCTGCAGAACAATATTTTCACCTTCTGCGTAGAACCCTTCAAAGTTTCCCATTGATCTTATGATAAAGACCGAACTCCACAGCGTGACCCCCGCTCACACCTTCCTTCTAATCTAAACTGAAACATCATTCTATCATGAAAGCCTTCTCGGACCACCCTGTGGATCATGGATTCCTTTGTTATCTGCTCTCTCAAAGCCACATTCCTTCACCTCACAGCATTTACCTTAGTTTGGAATGATGAGCTTCATACTGCGATGGTTTCTTCCTTACCACTGGACAGGAAGTCCCATAACCTGTCTGTTTTTTCATTCCACTGTGTCCCCAGCTGCATCTTCACAGCTGCCACATAAAAGAATGAATGACAGCATGAAGGAGGCTGAGTAGAGCCAAGATGAGTTCATTCAAAGAAGAAACAAGGGGGGATCCATTGCCCTTGGAGAACTGGGTGCAATAGCCTGACAGCAGTGAGTTTTGCTCCCTTCCCAAAGTACTTCTGCAGGTCATAGCCTAGGCTCCTCTCAAAGTCCAATAACTTCATCTGCAGATGCTACCCCTGTTTGCTCTATCCGCTGCCCCTGAACGTCATTAATTTCAGCCCCTCTTTTGATCTCCACAAGAAATACACTCCCACAACCATGTTGTATATTTCCTTAAAATGTGGCACTCACGGGGAGGAGTCACCTCGAAGACAGCCGTCCTATCTTCACTTTTCCCCATCTCTACTCTTCCTTCTATTCCTTCCTGGATTGCCTCTCCATTCTCCCCACCTCTAGAGCACTCCAAATTCTCCCTTTGTAATACATAGCACCTTCCTTGTTCCTCTGCAATCTTGATGCCACTCAATGCTCAAATTGGAGGAAGATCTCAGATTCTCTCCCCAAGGTTGCACACAGAAACCCATGAAGAACCTGAGAACAAAAGCCCTTGCCCTTAGTATGATATAAGCTCCTTAAAGAACATTGAGCATTATAAAGGGTTAAAGAATCTGCCCACTGCCCAGTCATGAGGACAAGCTACAACATAGAGATGGTAGAATCTAGGATGCTTTAATGAAAACAACACTAGAGCTAGTTCTTAGCCTTTTCTCGGACATCACTCTGGTGTGACCTTAATGAAGACAAGGACCCTTGTTAAAAACCATCTGGGAGTTTAGGAAACTGTGGTATCTCAGGTCTTCCTCATCATTGGAGATTCTGGTTTAAGTGTTTGAATGGGACCCAACAGGGGTATTGTAAGACTACCCAGATGATTCTAATGTTCAGCCAGCTCTGACGATTTCTGATGGAACATCTCTTTCCTTTTATAGGTGAGGAAATTGAGGCTCAGAGAGCAAGTAGCTTAACAGACATCCTGTTGGCCATAATTCTATTTTTAAATGGTTTAAAAGCTCAGTTTGTCCTTTTGAATCTCAGCATCCTCATTCTTGGATTCTTTATTTATATCCCAAATGGCTGGACACCTTTGAATTTCTTCTTTCAGAGAGGATAGATGGTGTTATACTTTCTACCTTCTGGCCTATAAGCATTTTTTCCATTGCATTCTTACCAGATGGCCACTTGGGTGGTATAAATGCAGCACCCTGAACTGTAGTGTGAATTAGCTGGGGAACTTGTTAAGTGCAGACTAATTGAGAAGATCTGGGTGCAGGCCGAGATGCTACATTCGCATTTCTGACATGCTCCCAGTTGATGCTGATACTGCTGATCAGTGGACCACAGTTTGAGTAGCCAGAGTGAAGTGGAGTGTTACAGTTTCTGTTTTCCCGCCAGACTTTCTGCCTCATTTTGTCGAGTGCTTTTACAAAAATTTATCTTGTTATTTTTTCTTGAGAACCCCGTCCTTAACCACAGGGATTGCTAGCATGTTATTGGAGAAGTTCTATTTTCCCTGAGGTTATACTAAGAAGTGTGTTAGTAGGAGCAGTCAGGAGACATCATGCCTGTTATATTGGGAGACTGTCTGCTGCAGCCAAGCAGAGCCAAAGTGAGAGGTGGACGGAAAGGTCTCATGGTGGATGTCATCATTTGAGCCTCTGAATTTAACTGTACCTAAAGATTCATCCCAGAGTTTTCCAGTTACCTGAGTTGATAAATTCACGCCACTTTTTCCTCCTTAGGCTGATCTAAGTGTGTTACAAACCTAATGGGCTAAGTTGAGGTGGTTTCCAAGGTGGTGAGAATGTTCCCAATGCTGGCTGAGGATTTGGAAATGTTTATTAGGCAATAGTGAAGCAACTGGTTAAGCTGTTACCTGTAGAGCTGAAGCTCTTTCCATCTTATGACTTTGTCCACTGTGCATATTGAAACTGCAGCTTTAGAAAGATGTCAGAATGTTAGTAAGCAACAAGATCTTCAAACAAACAAACAAACAACAACAACAAAAAAAAACACCAGAAAAGAAAGATGTCACAATGCTGAAGTAGGTGGCCTTTTTCTTTCTTTTCTTGGTACACTAATAAATATTCTGAATAAATTACCAAATTTTAGTTTCAGCTACCTGTCTGAAGGCAGAAAAAGAATATCATGTAACTGTGGTGTGCTGCAAATCAGCTGTCTAAGACAGTAGCCAGTCATATCATCACACAGCCTAACAAATTCTTTGCATGAAATTCAAGTTAATGCAAGGAAGGAGAGGGAGAATGAGAAATTGCATTACTTATCTGTCATTGCATAGCAAACTACCCTGAAATGTAGTGGCTTAAGACAACAAACATTGATTCCTGTCCAGTGTCTGTGGGATAGGAATTCCAGCAAAGCATAGGTAAGTGACCCCGGCTCACAGTTCCCTCTCACAAAGCTACACTCAAGGTGTTGGCTGGAGCTGTGTTCTCATCTGAAGACTCTGCTTGGGGTAGAGGGAATATTTGCTTCTAAGCTGTCTCATATGACTGGCAGACTGGATTCCTTGCTACATGGGCCTCTTGACTTGGTTGTCCCATAACATGATAGCTGGCTTCTCCAGGGTGAAAGATTGAGGAGAGAGCAAAAGAAGAGGTGCCCAAGACAGAAGCCACAGTCTTTTTATAACCCAACGTCTTGGAAACCTGTCAATAAGTCCAGGTCATGCTCAACAGGCTGCTGAGAATATTAGGAGGTGGTGCTCACTGGAGGTAATCTTAGAAGCAGCCTACCACAGAAACTCATTGAGAAATAAGATTACAACTCTTGAAGGTATACCAAGTCCCTCCTAAATAACTTTTGCTGTCTATTCTTTTTTTTTTTTTTTTAAAGTAGACATGGAGTCTTGCTCTGTCACCCAGGCTGGAGTACAGTGGTGTGATCACAGCTCACTGCAGTCTCTACCTCCAGGGCTCAATTGATTGTCCTACCTCAGCCTTCCAAGTAGCTGGGACTACAGGTTTACGCTACCATGCTCAGAGAAATTTGTATTTTTTTTTTTATAGAGACGGTGTTCTGTTATGTTGCCCAGGCTGGTCTTGAATTCCTAGGCTTAAGTGATCTGCCCACTGGCCTCCCAAAATTCTGGGACTTCAGGCATGAGAAACCACATCAGTCCTGTCTGTTTTTTTATCAGAGCCCAAACCTTCCCCCTACATGGGGACAAAGAGGACAGTAAATCTGCCTGAGCACTTGGTGATGGTCACAGGCAGCAGCCGCAAGTGAAGCTATAAGGTTTGGTTCCAGGCCTCGATGGGAGGAGGACTCTGGCCTGTTGCTAAAAGCCAGAAACAGCATCTCAGTAGAACTCAGATGCAGAGATCCTGGCACTCATGGAGATGAGGGATTGTTATCCAGGGTGTTCAGCACTCAAATTGATCAACCATTAATTAAGTTTTAAGGGGACTGTACAAGGAGAGAAATTCCAAGCCTGGCTAACAGGGCCATGATTATTGATCTCTTCTAAGATCCCCAGGTCTGTGTCACCTGGCCTAGAGAAATGCACTGCTAAGCAGGTGTTGTTATCTTTTCTCCTTTGCACCCCTCTCAGAAATGGGCCATGATAGCCAAGAGAGCAGAAAACAGGCAGCCCAATGGACTGACCGAGGACTTCTTTCACTATCAGGCTGGAAACCCTTCTGTTTCTCCCCTGCAGGAGCAGTTATGACCCTTTGGCCACCAAAGTCAATCCCTCTCCTTCCCTTTTCTAAATCGGGGTTACTAGTATGTCAATCCTATTTTCTCACTATCACTGTAACATCAGGCTTGTCAAATATGGCTAAATCTATCCTTGGGTCTCAAGTTGCAACAGGTTGGGGGCCCACACATGACCTTGAATGAGAGGGATGCTCATCTTCCAGATGGATTTGCAGGTGGATGCAGTGGCCAGATGAAATGCTGGGTTGTCTTCCTCTGAGGAAAAGGTATGTGAGTGTTTTGATTATACCTCATATTATAGCATCATATTGGCTGAGAACACTTTGTGGAATGAATAAAAAGAAAAAAGGGCGCTTGAGTGTCAGATCATAAGACTGAAGAGAGTGGAATGTGGTAGCTGTGGCTGTGTTCTTTTGGCATGATTTCACATCTCCTTTTCCCCTAGTTCTTTGGGGAGCTTCTCTCGCATTCTATGGGATAGTTGGGTGATTGTCATCAGACTACTTTGTTCCTCATCCTCAGGGCTTCTGTCTCTTGCAATAGAAGCATTTTAACTAAAACAGGTATCTACGGAATATTTTGATCTCATTCTCTTTCCTTCATAAATTTTGTTGATGTCTTTTGCCATTTAACATTATAGAGGATAATCTTGAAGTTAATCTGTTTTTATAAAATAGAAAGGTAGGGCGGGGCGCGGTGGCTCACGCTTGTAATGCCAGCACTTTAGGAGGCCGAGGCAGGCAGATCACGAGTTCAGGAGTTCAAGACCATCCTGTCCAACATGGTGAAACCCCATCTCTACAAAAAATATAAAAATTAGCTGGGCATGGTGACGTGCACCTGTAATCCCAGCTGCTACGGAGGCTGAGGCAGGAGAATTGCTTGAACAGGGACCCAGGAGGCAGAGTTTGCAGTGAGCCAAGATAGTGCCACTGCACTCAAGCCTGCAAGACAGGGTGAAACTCCATCTCAGAAAAAAAAAAAAAGAAAAGAAAAAAAATAGAAATATAGGCAACTTGTTAAATCTATCTTATTATACTTTATCCTCAAGTTCAAGGCATAGCTCTATCTAGTAGAAACTCTATCTAATGTTTATTGAAGCCTTTTTTTTTCTTTTTTGTTGCCCAGGCTGAAGTGCAATGGTGTGATCTGGGCTCACTGCAACTTCAGCCTCCAAGGTTCAAGCAATTCTCCCGCCTCAGCATCCAGAGTAGTTGGGATTACAGGAACCCACCACCATGCCCAGCTAATTTTTGTATTTTTAGTAGAGACGGGATTTCACCACGTTGGTCAGGCTGGTCTCAAACTCCTGACCTCAGGTGATCTGCCCGCCTCAGCCTCCCAAAGTGCTGGGATTATAGGCGTGAGCCACCGTGCCCAGCCATTTATCGAAGCCTTTTGATCTGCAAGTTTAGGTGTTCAGTTTTAGGATAATTTTATTTGCTTCTGCTCAATTTCTCCTTTTCTCCCCATCAGATACACTGTTAATATACATTTTGGCTCTCTCTTTTCTGTTATCTACTTGTAGCATCACCCCTTTCATGAATGTGTTTTATTTTTCTTTTTCCTCTTGATTGTGGGTGAGTTGCTGATAACATTGCTGATGTAATTTTTTTTTTTTTTTGCACTGTCGATTATTTTCTTAACTCTTTTTATACGTTAAAAAGTCTCTTTTCACATGTTTAATATTAATGTTTTTCACTTATCTCATCTAGTTCCCTTTTTATAATTCCTTCTTAACAGCTGCCTTTTGATCTCACTGCGTTGTCTTTTGTTTTAATACTGTTGACAATACAAGACAAACGTCTAAAATTTATGTCTGCTTCCTGCAGTAAATCTCTTAAAAAAAGAATGCTCTTCTATTGCTATGGAAATAGTATACTACCCATCTGTGTTTAGGATCTCCTCATGTATCTCGTTTTATTTTGCTTCTGTTTTTTCATATCTGAACAATAAAGCTTCTATCTGCGTCTAGAATTTGTTCCCCAAAATAGATGAGTGGGTTCTTCTGAGATCATCTCACTGAGGTCTTAAGTTTGAGGGCAGTCTGAGGATGGAGAGAGATCTACACTCATGGAGCAGAAAGGCAATTTCATGAATGGGTAGTGTCTTTTCTGTGGCAAAGCCACTGAGCTGGGCATCCATCCTGGTTGTCCGATTGTCGTGTTCCTGGCCCACCATAGCTGGATGAGCCATAGTGTTCTGCGGAGTGTGTGTGTGTGTGTGTGTGTGTGTGTGTGTGTGTGTGGTGGGGGTTGGGGGAGTGTGTGCTGCAGCCTCCAGTCCGTTGTTTGCTGCAGCTGCCATGCCCTGGTCTACCAAGGTAGTTAACCGTGACATTCCCATTGCCCCATTGCACTGATAAAGAAACTCCGCATCTTCCATAACTGCCACCAACAGTCTTATACTTGACACACAGAACTTCCTAGTGTTCAAGTTTTCATTTGTGAGGTGTTAATCCACATATAACCCAGAACGGACATATAGCCCTTCATGTGTTAACTCAGTGCTCTTTCCTATGCCTGGAATATGTCAATATACATTTTTCACCCTTCCAGTTTCTACTCCTTGAATGCCTGGCTTAGTGGTTCTTTTCCATGCCAGATACTTTTGGGTTTCTCCAGCCAGAGTTATTTCTCCTATTGTACCTTATACATATCTCTATTTCAGCACTTGGTAAGTTGTGTTTTAATTGCTTAGTCTTCTGTCTTCCTAGTTAGCATATGAATTCTAAGTTGTCAAGGATGTGTTTTATTCATCTCTATTTTCCCTTCTTTGTTCTTGGCATCTAACAGACTGCTCAGTAAATGTTTATAAATGAACTAATTGAGTGAGGAGACTTGAACACTTCCTTTATCTTTGGTTTGGAGGTCTGTGTGGGAGCTTAGTTTTGAGTGAATGTTGGAATTGCAATTCTCCTAAGCACATCTGTCTCTGCTGACTGTATATCTTGTCTGTGACAGTCCTCCTGGCTTGCAAACCGGGGAACAGCCGAAAACTCCAAACACATTGTCTTCCACTCCTAACAGGTACACGATGTTTGCAACCACCGCCTCCCTTTCTCTAACTCTTCAAAAACAAGCCATGCTAACTGTTAATTGGAAGAGGCCTTTAACTCTAAAAAGAAGACAACCCACTTTTTCAAGTTCTTGTTGCTATAAATCACACTACGTCTATAGCAAGATGCCTGTCTCTCTTTCCTGACAAAAATGTAGAATTGAATGTGCCAAGCCCTCTCTGCTAGGTGTGCTTTCCTTTCAATATTTCAACCAAATGTCAGAGAGACAGGAGAATGTCTTATCTTTAAGGAAATCCTGTCTAATGATTTAGAAGGAAGATTGAGATGGAGCCTGGTGCTAATTATATTCTGTTTTTCTCTAGAATTGAGGGATATGCTTGGGAGCTGGTAAACAGTGGGGGCCAGGGTGCAGCTATATCTTTAGATGCAGAAAGTATCTTAATAAACAAGAGTTGCGTGGTTTTTTGTCCAATCTGTGGATTTTTTCTTTCTTTTTTGCAGTGTATTGAGGGATAATTGCTATGTGAAAACCTGCACATATTTATAGTATACAATTTGATATATGTATTCACCTGAAAAAATATGACCATGATCAAAATTGTGTACATGCATATGTATAAATCTTGTGGATTTATGTGACATCAGGATCAAAGGTTCTACATCCGCAAGGGCTTATAAATTTTGTCAATTTTTACCCTGTTGCAGACATTGATTTTCTTTTTTTTCTTTTTTTTGTCACCTGACCTTTAAGCTTTTCTCAGGTTTTCTTTTCTTTTCTCTTTTTTCTTTTCTTTTTTTTTTTTTGAGATGAATTCTCACTCTGTCGCCAGGCTGGAGTGCAGTGGCACAATCTTGGCTCATTGCAACCTCCGACTCCCTGGTTCAAGAGATTCTCCTGCCTCAGCCTCCCAAGTGACTGGGACTACAGGCACGTGCCACCACACCCAGCTAATGTTTGTATTTTTAGTAGAGACGGGGTTTCACCATGTTGGCCAGGATGGTCTCAATCTCCTGACCTCATGATCCACCTGCCTCAGCCTCTCAAAGTATTGGGATTACAGGCGTGAGCCACCGCATTCGGCCTAGGTTTTATTTTCTCTGTCACCGTAGCTTTCTACATCGGAGTGAGTTTTGTTTTCCCTTGACACTGATTCTGGTTAGTCGGTAGCCACTAACATTGTATGTGTCAGGGAAAAAGGATTTTATCCATTGTGGTTCTGCGCTTTCTCTCATTGAATCACAGTTCTCTGACTGAGTCTTCTTCCAGAAACTTTGTGGAGTCCCTCTTCCACATTCTGACCACAACTCCAACCGTGTGGATGGAAGTGAATATTTCTACCACCTTCTCCCCCACTGACTCATTCCCATGGCTTCATAACCCTTGGGGCATGCTGATGCTCAATTCTGCCTTCCTCTTAATCATAGTTTCTTCAATGACTAGCCAGTGATAGCTGTAGGGTCTTCAGGCTTTAGCTAACATGTTAACAGGATTCTAGTGGTGATCTCACTCCAACATGAGATTTTTCATCTGATATCCATTAATATGGGAAGCATTGCACACTTGGAATGAAAAAGAAAAAACGTTGTTAGGCTGTCGTATAGGTTTAATCTGAAAGCATAGTTGAAAGCATCTTAACTCAGACTAGAAAGTGGTCACTCAGATTGCCACCCCTTGAAAAGGGATAACTCATTTCCCTTTTCCCAGACAGAATACTTGAAATCAGGCTAGAATCGTAGAGTCTTTAAATTACCTTGTGATCACTTGTTTGATACATAAGACAGAGTCATTTCTCCAGGGGACTGTAAAACTTGTTTTACAAATACTGTTTGAAACAAGCGGGTCATCCGTGGGGTTGGAAATCTTTTTACCATGGGCAGATTCTTATAGGTGTAATAATTATAATGTAATTTACTCTGTGTTTTGTTGCTGTAGCATGTTTACTGCCTAGTTTGGCAAAAGCTGGAGGAGGCAACAGGATTGAGCGAAGGTTGGGGAAAACTAGGTATATTTGTAGATAAGGGTGGTTATCACGCATGCTCAAGAAAGACAGAGACTACCATTCAATCCAGCAATCCCACTACTGGGTATCTACCCAAAGGAAAATAATTCATTGTATGAAAAAGACACTTATACACACATGTTTATAGCAGCACAATACACAATTGCAAAAATATAAAACCAGCCTAAATGCCCACCTACCAATGAGTGGATAAAGAAAGTGTGGTATATATACACCACGGAATACT